CATCATAATAACCAACAAAAGATTTGCCTTGACATTCTTATTATAGGAAGGAAAAATCAAAATTATGATTCTCACTACATATCACAGACTTTTGAAACGTCGAAACCTGCTGAAGGAGAGACCACTCCTCAAATAAAAAATGATGCTTGTAATCTTTCAGGTGCCCAAAAGGTGATTGGGCATAAGTCGATTCCACAAGTTATCTACATATTATGGTAAAAGACCGCTCACCATTTTGATTCATGAGCGTGGCGTAAAGGCGACGTGTTTTAACTATTTTTGCTGATGAGTGCAATTAAAGGACATGGGAATAATTTGCTAAGGGGATTGCAGATGGCGCCATTGCGCTCATCTGCTTTACAGTAATTACAAAGGTCACTTTAGGATTTGTCTGCCCTTGTGCTTTTGGGTTGGCCTTCGGGTCGTGGTCAGGCCCATTTGCCCTGTCCTCTTTGGAATACATGTATCCAACCTCACTTACTACCTTATTCCACCCTATGGGAAGTTTCGAGACGCTACAGAGAACATGAACTATTAAGCTTAAAAAGGTAATATGACCGAAGGTCTGTACAACAAGGTAGTCTGCGCTGAAGTAAGGTCCATCACTTTATTTGTGTGTGTAAAGGATATTTTTTGTTGTGACAGAATGTGGTTAGGCATAATTGGTACAAATGGCGTTCTAGGAACATCAGTACCCACGGGCCTAATAATGCAAGCATTCCAAGAATGAAAGTCTCTTAAGTAACAATTATGGGAGATTCGATTTAATGCTATAATCGAAAGTTTATTTACTCCTACAATTTTTTTAGTAAAAAGGCTTTACAATTAGCAAATTAGTGGCAATTCGTAGATTGCTATTGTTTGTATGTTGCAATGGATCTAAACAACATGGAGCGCGGTAAACTCTGAAATCCCATTTTGTGTTAGATTGGTTGTTCGCTTTTGTTGTCGCCATGGCAGCATCTCCAGGCGATGCGGGTCGATTGAAGAGGATCGGGTTTGAAGTTTTTGGAAGAGTTCAGGGTTGGTTTTTGATTGCATTTAGGAAATAACCCCATTAATAGGTGTGTTTTTTCGCAAAGTTTGTCGGGTTATAGCATTTTACTGGCTTCTAGTACACAGCAGCCACAGCAAAGCAGAACAACATTGTTGGTTGGGTACGGAACACGCCCAGTGGAACAGTTGAGGGTGAAGCTGAAGGATCTGCGTCACAAATAAACACCTTGTACGTTGTGCTTACTACTCATCCTCCTTTCATTAGCAAAAACTGGCTTCAACATACAGGGAGTCCCAAATCGCGAGTGGAAAAGTGCGAATTTAGGGAGGAAAGAAATATCGACAACCTCACTTTCGATTCTTTTCAGATTGTTAAATAGCTTGGCGCATAAATTTGGCAGTAGTAAAGCTTGTTTCGGTGTCCGGGATTTTTTCGGTGAGCAAGCCTATCCTAAGTGTGTTTAATAGGATTCTCTTAACCTAACCTGCTGGTGGCATTGTCTAAAGTGTCATATACCAAGCAGTGTTCCGCAACCGAAAACCTTCAATTCTGGGATGTGGGTGGGCTGATTCTGAATCAAGGTTTGGTAATAGGAAGGTAGATTAGAGTCGGTCTTTTTGCTCCAGAATCCCTCTCATATTTTTTGTCACAAAGGTGGATTATCAAGAAGTCGGGCAACTAACAGAGATCTGTTTACTTGAGTACTCGTGGCGTTGTCTTTGTAGATGCGTATTATTTTGGGGGTATTTGAGAGCATTTTGTGAAGTGGATGTAATAGAGTGGCGATTGGGAGTGCCGGTGCAAAGAACACTATTTTCTGATACTAGTCAATGTGGATCGCCTCCAGTCCCACCAAATGGGCTTTTCGCATGGACGGTAGATCGTCAAGCCTTGCCCACATTGTCACGCCTCCTTTAATTGTGAACATCTAAAGAAGACGATTAGCACACGTGAGTCTTCAGAAGATTTGGTGTTTCGATTAAAAGGTAGTCGCTAAAATGCATTTCCTTATTGCGTTATAGTACATGATGCTAAGATGATGAGTTGTCAACTGACGAACTGCAAGGTAGCGACAGAAACTCGTTCTCTAATCCGATAGCTTATTAGCGGGTCACTTGGTTTTAGTGCTTGCGTATTTTATTATTTGAGATGTTTTTATCTCTCTTGAAGCAGTAAACCCTGGTTTATCAGTTTACTTTCATTTTAAGCAAGTTAACATTGCATTTGCTGACAAGTAGATTGCCCAGTTCATTCTCAACTTACTTATTTACAAGCTTGATTCGCGTCAGCTATTTGTGTTAAAAACTTTAAGTTAGAAGTGCATCGAAGGCACTGACAATGAAGATTGATTAGACGGTAGTTGACAGCATCGGTTCAAGTCACGCACGTACCCACTTATCCGTCATTTGGAAAATTGAATTATGTAATTCCTCAGATAGGAGTTGTAACAATAACACTAACGATCACTTGCATGATGAAACTTACCTGTTCTATGCTGCAAATGGATGGAAATGGTGAGACAATCTTAAAGTGAACAGCCGTTGCTTCTAGCCACGCATTGTCACAGTTTATTGGATCAGAAACTGGACCTAAATGCGTCTGAAAAGAGATATGCTGTGCCAGAAGCTTTAGAAGAAGTTGACACAATGGGATAACTTTTGAACTTACGTATTTATTATATGCGGCGAGAAGTCGCTGCAAGCCAGCGGAATCATACATTTCTGTTTCTCCGTTCGCTATTATCAGTTGCTCGCAATACTCTCTTACCAGATCCTTGTAACAGGAAATCTGACTGCAGTTCTTCCCATGGCGGCACAGGAACTAATGGAGCAAGAGGAAACGTTAGTACATAGCATGATATAAAAGCATGGCCAAGAAAGGGACTAAAAACAATTAACCATACCCAGGGAAACTGGGCCTGTGCGCGAACGCCCCTGAGAAGAAGCACCTCTTCGACATCGCTGAATCCGCTTCTCTCGACAACGACAATGCAGGCGGTGTTGCCACCATATTGGGGTAGAAGTCCCTTTCCAGCAATGCCGACTCGACCTTCAGGGTTCCGGAGCTCCTCTGATCTGGTTGGCGAGGAATAGATGGCCGTCATACCGGTGGACTCCACAGAGGGGACGCGGCTGGACACACGCTTCATTTCAAGGGTGTTTGGTGAGGCCTCGCCAACTGTCATCTGCCAGGCCGGGATCTGGGAGCTGCTGGGTTGCCATCGGAACGGCAAGTAGTCCGGAAATGGGTCCTGTAGCGCAAGTAAGCTAAAACTTTCGCCCTCATACACATATACAAGCAAAATTTGTAAAAGAAAAACGACTTAAACATCAAATGAAGTTGTTAGTGATTGGACTGATCCTGCTTTTCAATTAAAAGGGGGACAGATATGCTAAACCAACTTGTTTTGCAATGATTGCATTTTTAAAGCCGAAAACTTTGTTTGTATTGTCGTAAATTGTGGTCCATGAAATAATGCAAATTGTGCTCCTCATGCGGATTGAACGCACATCCCACGGAATTGGAGGATCAAGACCACGCGGAGTAATGTCACTGTTTAGCGTAGCATAGAAGGCCAGTTGGTGGTCTTGCCATCGAAATGAGATCGGAGCTTCTTTGCCCTCATTTCCGACGTAAGGTGACAGCCTACTGAATACCGGGGAATTTGCCGTTCCTATAAAGAACGTGGGAAGATTGGAGTGTTGACTCTCTTGATTGTTGATTTTCCGCATCTTCTGAGCTGAGATCATATCCACTGCAATGTTTGTTTAGCTTTTATAAATTATTACCCTCTGACAAAATTAGCGGTTAATTTGTCAAGGTCAAATTTTAACATACTTCTGTATTCTTTTGTGGGTTTCGCAAAAAAAGACTCACGCTTCGTTGCAGATGGAGATGGGGACAGCAAAGGGGGCCATTTGGTTCTGATCTAAATGAAACCACTTACAGTTTGGGTTATCGTGATTGTAGGAAGTAGACATCCA